TTTTTTTTTTTTAGCAAAATCTAGAAATAACACAAGGATAACAGTAAAGCACTGTTGAAAAATTACTGTAACTGTCCAGTGTCCGTATGCACTACTACAAAAAAAATAAAACAACAAAGTCCATTCTAGTTTTTCCTTTTTTTTCTTTTTACGAACTGATTGTATACTGCAACGTTATGTTGATAGTTAACCAGTTAAAGTTCTTCTTTCCTTTCTTCAACTTTACACATTCACAATAGGCAAGCGCCAAAATTAATTGATTCATTTTACTTAAAAAATGTAAAATTGAACCAACCTAACGTAATTTTGGCATTTGATTTAGGTTACGCGACATAATTGTACTGATTTGCATTATCTTTATCCCGTTCCATGTAATCCCTGTCTATGAGCGACTCAATCCGTTTCTTTAAGTCAGCAGGCTAATTATGCGAAGAAAAATATTTACGTTAAAATAAAAAGATGCAAAAACACAAGAAAAACTTTAAAATTAATTATACCATTGTTGTTATTTTATAATATAATGATATTAAAGTGCATACCTTAACAGGGAACTTCAATTGATTGTATAATTCACTAATGAGGAGATTGTGCGTAAGTGTTTTTCTCATTTTCATAATCCTGACTATTGCTGCATCAATTTGATATTGTCTATCTTGATACACTCTTTCCTCTGTTGCTTTTTGTTCTTCGTTCTGTAAAAATATATTTGTTAAGGAATTGTCCATTAAAAATTGCAAAATTAATAATTTCATGAGCATAATATGGATATTACCGTTTCTTTCATTTGTATTTGATTTATTTTAATTCTGAATAACTTATTCGTAAATTCTGCATTAAAAACAAATCTATCGTTGTCAGCGACGTCTCTACCACGCGGGTGTTTCTGTAAAACTCTGGCCTTTCCACAAGCCAAAGATTGTAAAGTTCTTCTAAGTTCGCCATCTTCAATGTTAGTCGCTGCTTTAATATCTTCCAATGAAAGATTATCAGCATCGTTAAATAATATTAAGACTAAGGCTTGAAATAATGATACTTGCAATTCTTTATTGCCCTGCAAGAACAAAAATTATATAGTTAAAATATGTACGCTAATATATGTTGAATTATTTTTATGCGATAATATACCTGATTAAACCAAGCTTTTAACACGCAATGTCCTAGAGTTGGTTGCCATTGTAACTTTCTTCCACTATGTTTTCCTAAATAAAATTTATTAAATACATCTTGATACTGGACCATTTCTGTTGGCAATGTAACTTCCATTACAGGGTATGTTGGCCAATATCCCATTGTAAGTATCGAGACTGTTAAGTCTAAATTACTTGCGGATAATTCATGTTGCAAGTTTCCAGCATACTAGAAGTAGAAGTATAAATAAAAGCAAAAGTTTGAAGTTGTAACTGGGCATTTTCATTTTCTAAATTTATAATAAAATAATAAAATTACCTGTTTGAAAGCAATATTAATATCTTTACTTAATTCCATATCTTTGAACATTCCTTCTAGTTTACTAGTAAATCCTCCACCACATTCTTGTTTTAATTTAGATAACATGGACTTTTCGGCATCAACCGAGGCAGATTTGCCTACTAGCAAACGTTTTGCTAAATCTTTCTTATAAAATGCTTCAAATACGTCCTTTCCGTGTATAAAACGAAATAATACCATAATTTTATCTAATAATCGTTCTAGTTCTTCCTCCGTTGCTTCTTTATTACCTGCACGTAGCTTACAATCGACAAATTTAGCTGCAATAAAAACCAACAGACATATGTTAATTTTTAAATTATTTTTAGACAAATATTCATTTGCTACTATAAATATTTTACCAATTAATTCTGCTGGTTTGTTTGCTCTTTGATTGATGAAAGCTTCGAAAGCTTCTTTTAAGCTATTAGCAAATTTTTCGTTTTTGTGAAAACACGTATTAACAATATTGTCCATTTTGTCTTTAAAATCTAAAAGTTCCTGTACCATAGTCTTATCTTTTTCTGGATCTATAACTATTGTTTTACCCTTTTTCTACAAAATAAATAAAAGTTAATTAAAATATTAAAAATTGGTTAGTGAAAAAAATAACGATATATTTTGTAACGATATATACGCACCTTTATGTAACAATTAAAGTTGAGACAAAGTTCGACGAGACCATTTTTTACTCGACTATATAAATTATAAAGTAATGATAAATCGCTAATTCTATTTTCATCTAATAAACCGCTTAAACCTTTTTGTAGAATGCTTGAAATATGTTCGGACAATAATTGCTTTTCGACTGTATGTATGAGAGACCATCTGATAAAAGATATATATATATATATATATATATATATATATATATATATACTTTTAATTATTGCAATAATAATACTAATTGGAATTGTATTTACTCGCAGAGCAGAAAACTTACTTTGTCGACGTGTCGAGATAGTGCAATAAACGTTCATTTTCTTCTTGCAGACGTTTGTCTACATGTGCTAAATATTCAGGAACGTCGTGCTCATTCATTAATCTTTGACCCTCTGCTGCATATAATCTCTCAGTTGCTACCAGGAACCTATGAATATAATTATTAATAATACATTATAAAGAGAGATTTTGATATTATTAAATAGTATGGAACATATGATATTAGCACATATCATAAATGATCGTACTTAGATTCAAAGGCCTCTTGGTAAATTTGTAAATCAGACAACATTCTTAATAATGATTTTAAAAGAGTTCTATCAACTGTATCCCCTTGTCGTTCTTTTTCAATCAGCATAAGTAACCCTTCAACTGTACGAGTTTGTACCAAATTATTCAGTACTATGTGTAATCTAAACAAATGTAATCCCATATCCCTAGAAACATATGCAAAGAAAAAATAAATCAATTACATTAGTAGTATACTAAGCGCGTTATATGAAATTATTTGAATAGTACTACATTAGAAGATGCCTACCAAATTGAAGATATTGTTGGATTTTGTAACACGTATGTTCTATCCAGGTACAAAAAGATACTTCTTATCATAATCATTTGTCTGCAATGCGATTGCCAACATTCATTCATTTTTTTCAAAAATATATGTCTATCCATGGATTCTGCTAAAAACTGTTCGATATTAGCTTTTACATGTGATTCCGTCAATATTGTTAAATTGGCGTATAGAGTTGATGCCATTTTGTGATTACACATATTCTCGACGGCTTGATAAAGTTCTTCTAAAGAATAACGAATACTTTTGCTCGTTTGTATTGCGATTACAGCTTCTTGCAGTTTTTCCCATGTTTGTTCTTGATAATTTTCTGGTAATTTTGGTTTATCTATAGAGACACGATACAATAAATTCATTGATATTTATTAACATAATTTTTTATTCTCAATTAAAGAGATCCATTCTAAGAAATAATAATTCACAAAATTCTTCGATATATGCGTTAAAGCAATGAAAGTATTTTCCAATGTTTTATAATTTGTTTTTAAGATTAATTTTTTAAATTGAAATATCTGCTACTTATGTTTACTTAAATTTATATCAAGAACAGAGGCGCTTACATGGTTTACACATACATACATATAATAGAACAAATGTATTTTTAGACGTTTTAAATAAAAATGCAAGAAAGCTCTTAATATATTTCTTCGTTTAAAAATGTTTCATTTTCTATATCAACGTCATTGTCGTCGTTTTAGTTTCTACAAAAGACTAAAGTATAACATAGAATATGCATATTATTCTTTATAAATATGTTTCATTTGAAATGTTTGCAAGACAGTGCGCATTTTGTAGAACAAAATAATATTGTCGTATATATATAGATCCATTTATAGAATATTACTCTGTCTTAATGATGAATGTATGGTAATGGTGGAAATGTAGAAAATTCATTGAAAAAAGAAAACAAAACAGAAAGACAATACGTCAATATATCGGTACATACAATTGTATAGAGTTTAATGATTAATGATGTGAAACAATGAAAAACCCTGCAATTTATAACATCAATTTAAAGTATGGACAATGAATTTGCATTGATGTTAGGATATGTTACTCTTCTATTATTAGTTACAAAAGAAGGATGTTAAAAATTGTCGACCAAGTCGTCAAATTTATTAGAAGAATACATATGATAAAAATAAAATGATGAATGGTAAAGTAAAATGAAATGAAAGAAATAGAATAGGAGAAGAGATAAAAAAAAAAAGAGAGAGACCAAAATGTAAAAGAGCGATAGAAAGATGATAAAAAAGAATCAAAACCAATGTAACATTTAAAAAACTAGAAATATAGATATGAAAGATAATGACAATTAATATAGCAATAATTAGAAACAAATAAATAACTAAAGGTTAAACTACAATTTAGGAATAATAAATAAAAAAGCCAATGAGAAAGAGGGATAGGAGAATAACATAGGAGCAATAAAAGCGTTGATTTTGAGGTTAAGTCGTTCTCATTCGTAATACCCATCCTTACTTTTGAAGTTTTTGATGACAAGTTTTCTCGCGGAGCCAGGTTTAGCAGTTGCCAAACTTGGCGATATTTTGCTTACGCCATTCGGATTGGCAACGGTCAATGCGGAAAAATTGGCCCTCTTCTGTGTGGTATCGGTCGTGGCCGTGGTCGCCGCGGCCGTATCCGTCATCTTCTCGATATCGTCAATCTCCGTAAGCGAGACTTTAGACGATAGTTTGCTCCGTTTAGCAGCAACAAAGTTAAGTACCGCCGTGTGCTCGGCGGACGTCTTCTTCACCTGCTGTGCTGTGCCCAGAACCTGGGTACCTCCGAGTCTAGACATATGCGCGCATCACACGGCCCCTGGCCCTCGGCACCAAAGGGTTTCTATTTAACTCTTCTTTATTTGTCCTCCCTCCCTCCCTTCCACCCTGCTCGTCTTTCTTTCCTTCTCCCCCACCCTCACTCCTTCCTTCTATCTTTCTTTCCTTCCTTCCTTCCTTCCTTCCTTCCTTCTTTCTTTCTTTCTTTCTTTCCTTCCTTCCTTCCTTCCTTCCTTCCTTCCTTCCTTCCTTCTTTCCTTCCTTCCTTCCTTCCTTCCTTCCTTCTTTCTCACCCTCCCACCCACCCACCTTCCTTCCTTCCTTCCTTCCTTCCTTCTTTTCGTTTAAACCGCCACTCAGATTGCTAAATAAACTTTACCTATATCGTTTCTTCTCGCGACACTTCTTTTCTTTCTTTTTTCTTTTTTTGGGCTTTTTTTCTTTCCACTTCTACCGCACGCACGCACGCACGTTACTTTCTCGTTTACTTTTTTCCTTCTAAACACACCCCTCGTGTTATTTTATTTTATATTTTAATTTTAACTTTAACTTCCAACTTTAATTTTTTTTGTTTTTTCTTTCCAAAGCCTCTTATCGATACAATTTTCGAGAAAAAGAAAGAAAAAGAGAAGGAGAAGAAGAGATAGTAGAGAAAGAGAACGGAAAAAGCTATTATTTATCCCTCGAGATATGGACGTATATACAATCTCTCTTTACATGCATATGTGTGATGAATCTCCCAAAAGACAATTGCCGACCGACTAAAGATGTCACCACTGCGCATGTGCATCGATATAACGATATCCAAATTTACTATTATTTTCTTAACTATTTTCTCTATTATTTTCTTTACTATTTTCTCTAATATTTTCTTTACTATTTTCTCTATTCTTTTCTTTATTATTTTCACTGACTACTTACAAGTTCTTTAATTACTTTTCTTATCTATTCAATTATTTTTTCTTTTTTTAAATTATTTTTATTCATTTTTGTCTATCACCATCTTCTTCTTTCAATCATTCGATTATCGATAATCGATCAATCATTCGATTATCGATAATCGATCTTTCTCTATATCGTTCGATCTTTTATCGCGCGAAGTGTCAAAAAATGAACGTCGGTAACCAAAATTTCGAGAGTAGAGTATGCGTTTGTAATTATATATATTGAAGTTTCGTCGTCATACTTATTGTTAATTAAGTCAGATATATTTTCTCTATATTTTATTTTCGTAGCTTTAAATTATTCAAGGATGCCACCAAAAAAAAATGTCAGTGGTAAAGCTGGAAAATCCAAAGGTTCCGAAGAAAGTGGGAAAGGAGATAAAGCTGAAAAAAAAAGTGGAACTACTGTAAAAGTATGCTTATATATATAAAAAAATAAAAAAAAAATAGGATCCAGTAATAATTAATGTTGTTTTCATTTCGCATTTTTGTCCAGTTTTTCTGTGATAATCCTAACGACATAACCTAAGAAACGACATTAATTATTAATAGACATGATACTTTAATATTTAATTCATTGATTTTTATAGGTTAGGCACATATTATGTGAGAAACAATCCAAGATATTAGAGGCTATGGAAAAATTAAAGGCTGGACAAAAATTTAATGAAGTGGCAGCAGCATACAGCGAAGACAAAGCGCGTTCTGGGGTACAAAATATTTCCTTTCATTTTTTTACTTATATATTTTTAATATAAAAGTTCAATATACTTATTTTTTGTTATTTTACGAATTACTTTAAGGGGGATCTTGGTTGGATGACACGTGGTTCAATGGTCGGTCCTTTTCAAGAAGCAGCTTTTGCATTGCCTATTTCCAATTTAAGTTCACCCATTTATACAGATCCACCAGTTAAAACGAAATTTGGTTATCATATAATCATGATCGAAGGTAAAAAATAATCTTACAGCATTAATATTTTATTTATATTCGTTTGATCGTTAATTTATATGATTATTAAAACATTTTTACACTTACGTACTTTTTGAAATTACTTTTTCCACTTTAATCAGTAATTGTAAAATTTCATTATACGCGCACGTATATTCAAATTTAATCTCTTTTATATATTTCATGATTTGTGCCTTAAAGACTTATTGTGAATCTTCCTGGGTATAAAACTAATAATCGTGTGTAAAGGATAAATATTGACAATACTTATGTACTATGATATGAGCTTTAATACGATTAAGTTTTACGTATTCTGATGTTGTATGAAAAGAAAAAACAATCTATTTGAATCGGTACATCTCGTACAACATACTGTGACATGAGTAATGCATTTAATAATGAAGTTGTTGTTGTAATAAATATAATCGCTCTATACACTATTCAGTCGCATTACTTAATCTTAAAAAACTTCATAATTTAATGGAATAACAATAGTTGAAATGATAATGGTCTATCCACTCGTCAGATTGTCATATAAGTTATCGAATTAAACGCGGAGGTTTGGATTAGTAAAACGAACGTATTTTAAGAGAGAATCATTCTCTTCGCACACCCATGGTTTTTTATGATGACAAGCAACGTCGTGCCAGTTAACACCATCGTTGTAAAATTGATTAAGAACTGCTAAACAATTTTCTGGAGCACCACCTTGGATGGCCTCACGATTATCAGGTTGAGGCTTGCCAATACTGATATATAAAGAAGATATAAAATATCTTATTAATTTTCAGATATTCATTTTAAAATAAACTTCAGAATTTATTTGCCAGTCACTTACCCGCCACTCTCAGACCAATCGTTTTGATTGCGATCGTTAGTTGGTGCAAGTTTTTGCAACTCGGCTGTCCAGAACCAACCATTTATATGAAGTGGTTGAAGATCAGGTCTGTCGCATCCTTTAAAATCGCAGAGACGACCGGACGTCCAAATATATTTAACTTTGTCTATAAAAAAAAAACAATTTTTCTCGTAGATTAAAACATTATTCAATCGTGTGAATTATATAAGAAGAATAAGTACTTTGAACGATGCGACTCTTGATAAATTCGTTCTCAGCAGAGGTTTCCAAAGATACGAGGTCCATGCATCGTTGTCTACAAAAATTTCTACCAGCTAGCCAATCAACTTCTTGTCCATTTGTTCTAGGATCAGCCCACGAATAGTAATAACCCTTTCCGTTAAAGCGTTCATGAATTGTTCCTAAAATATTATTTTATAATATTTTTCTTCTTTATTTTTGTTTGCATTTATACGTATATTTTGTTTTATTTTTCTTACTAATTAATATTAAATTATATTGCAACAATATTCGCTATAATTATATATTTAATTACTTGATTCTTTTTCTTTAAATAATATCATCAAAGTTCTCCTATACGCGTAAGAAAAGTCCTCCTTATCATAATTATATTTATTTAACAAATGGAATAGTGATTTTTTGTTAATAGAAGAATATTCATTTTATATAAAGCGCGCGATTTAATTTATTCGTAAACAAAAGCGTAACGAGAAAAATGTCGACTCTTTTAAAGTGAAAGTTGCGAAATCAATGCTGTCTTTTGTGACCTCTCACAATCGGTCTCTATAGTCACGACCTAAGCATTGGCACTGTGTAAGGTCTATGCTAATTGTGGAACTACTTTCCCAAATAAAGAATAAGAAAGTCTTCTGTTAAATTGCATTCAGAATACGTGATAAGAGTATTTCTTCTCTACACATTTCGATAGCATAAATGTTAATTGGTGGCACTAAATACCGATATCTTTTAAGTTAACTTATACGTCAGTATGTTTAAATAAAAAATAAAAGTTCCAATATAATTTTCAATAAATCAAATAAGAATATATGTTAACCAATTGCAACGAATGAAATAATGATATAGATGATTTCGAAAAACCTTGGACCCGCATTTTTCAAAAACGAAGCACAAAGATTGCGATGCATGGATGTCAACGCCCTTTAACTTTTCGTCCCCTTATTAATTGGGTTATTAAAAACAGAAGGAAGGAAAAAGTGGCAGTTGATATTCCACGATGGTTCTTTTTCTTTCATTGATCCATTCACAGCTGCGATGACATTAAAAATTCAAATTCGTTCGCGTTTCACGGCACCGTTAATATTGCTCATACCAACGCGTACGTATGCACGTATGCACGTAAATAAGTCGTACATACTTTCTACAAATGTGTCGATATTAATTAGTTATTCATTTGTATATCCTTGTTCCGTCAATTAACACACATTTCGTTGAGCCGGAACACACCCACGTCTATTAACTATGTTATACTTTATTCTTCTATACTTATCTCTCTGTTAATTATTTTTAATTTGAGATAGAAAATTTATATTCTTATTTTTCACGTTCTATTTAATATCAAAAAGACGACGTGTAGAGATTATGGGGTCACTTGGAGAAGTAACACTTAGTATTTTAGTTCAACCTGTTTGAATCAGAGAGAGACCTTGACCTTGTTAAAAGGCCACACCATTTTTACAAGTAGTAAAGAGCTTTAAATGTTCTTTTTTTTTTTTATCGTCGGACTTTTTTTCTCATTTGATCATATTTTTATAGTTTCGATAATCCTATGAGTAACGCCTATTTATTTTCTTATCAAGAAAATAATGGCATATTGCTTCCTATGTAAATAAAAGGACTAAATAACATATGGATTTGAAATAGAAATAAAAAGACTCACGTTGGGCGCACAATGCCGGTATTGGTGGTTCTAAAATCCTTCCAGTTGGTTGGGGCTGAAATTGTGCGCTCGTCAAGGCCACGAATGCACCCAGGAGAAGAAACTTAATCATTTTATTCTTTCCTATTAATCGGAGAATGAATCTGGAGAATGAATTAAAGTTTCTTTGTTCAAATATTTGTCATTAGAGAATGTAATATTTGCCATAAGTTTGAAATAAATAAATTAATTAACAAAATAATCGATGATCGAGGCACTGTCACAAAAAGAAAAAGATTGATATTCGATCGATATATCTCTGTTGCTTATAAATACAACCGAAGTTCCAAATGCTTCCGATGAAGCGACTTTCTTTTAAACCGGTTTAACGATTCAACAATTCAACATACGACAATTTCATTTGCACTTAACAAATTTTTAATGATACGTGATAATGATATCGTTACCCGTTATTATTAATATTTAAAAAACGTTTCGAAAAGTTAGAACAAATTGACGAAAACGGAGGATGAATAGACGAAAAAATGAGGAAGAAAGAAAAAGAAAAGTTAAAAAGAGAAAATGTGAGAGATAAGTTAATTTAACGATGCTCACCTAAGAACGTTCGCTGGAGAACTACACAGTGGTGTTTCTTGTGGCACCCCTATATATACACAATGGAGGACACACGCGGTACTTTTAAGATCTCGTACAGGTATTTTCGACGGGTGGTCGATCGAGTTCAATTTCTTTTCGTTTTCCTCTTACAAATGGGACGCCATATGTCCGGTCGGTCTCCCTTTCAATTTAACTTTTATTAATCTTCCCCATACTGCGCTATTTCATTTTTTCTCTTATTATTAAATACGATCCATGGAGAATTACTCTCGTGTAAATTCTAAAACTACGATCGAGAACCAATCCGATTCCCTCCCTTTCCTTCGGTGTATACTTTTATTTTCAATTTAATATCTTTGAATATCTTTGAATATCTTTAATATATATATATATCTTTAATATCTTAGTCGCCGCCCCTCGTCTTTTTTGACACAAGTTCGCGTACATTTGACAAAAGTTGTCAGCTTTCTTTCTTTCGTCGTTTCTTCTTATATATCAACATTTACTTTTCAATTTTTTATATCTACATTGAAGAGTGCTTATTGGAATTCGGGGGAGGGGTAGGGTAGGTAAATTTGTCCTCGTTAATTTAAATGACCCGAATATATATTATTATGAATTATCGGTATATAGTGTTTAAATAAATGAGAGATATACGAAGAGTATTTTGAGAAAGTGTCGTATTTTGAGAAAGGGAACAAGGAAAGTATTTTACCGAAAAAATTAACGTACGAGGTACGCGCGTGTTTGTTTAAACTTATTTCATTCTATATTTGACAATCGCACCCAAGGAAATATGAACTTTCGCTTACATGTTTTTGAAATTCCAAATAGATAACTAACTTTTAAAGTTTTTGAATTAATTAGAAATTTGATAGAACTTACTTTCGTTATTTTAGAAAACCTATAGAAATTCAAAATAAATTTCTATTATACATATATGTTTGTGTGTGTATTTATAAATATCGTAATATTAACGAGATATTTAAACGAGATTGATCGTGAGAACGATTGGAAACTTATATTGAAAGTACCGTTAGGTATAATGGTACTTATATACATGCTATGTAGGTCACCCAAAAACTCAACTTTTATTATTATATAACTTATTCTTTTCATATGTTTTACATTAATGTAATATATACGAATCATTTATTATCTTACGTATTCGTTTAAATTAGATATTTTTTGAAATAAGTACGTAAAATTGTCAAACAATTTTAATTAAATATCGCTTTCCTTAAGAAAATTTAAAATGATCATTTCATTTAGAAAGGTACATTAAATTTATATTATTATATTTCATTAAGAAGTATATAACATTTTTTTCAAATTTTTGTCATATTTGTATACATTTTATATATAGATTCAATATGTTTACAGCAGATAATAAATGATGGTATTAAACCTAAAGATATTTTCCTTACCAAGTATGATAAAGAAGATAATCTCAGTCGGTAACTAAAAAAGTCGGAAACAAAATATGCAAGTGTATTGTGGGTAGTTTACTCTTGTTCATCGAAATAAACGTTTTCTTGTCATTTCTTGTTTATAATATTTAAAAATGAGGAATACAAAAATAATTAATAATGTGTTCGTATACAAATTTTCCATTATGCAAGCATAATGTTCAATGATAATGATTTAAATGTTGATATTAATAAAAAAATTGTCAGTAAATCAATCACATATAAAAACTTGAACGTTAACCTTTTTAATTGCCTAATTAATATTATTGCATAGTAATTATAAAAATCCTATTGCTAAAATGTTTCGAGATAATTCCAAGATTATTTTGGAAAATGAATCAGCATTATCTGCTTTTTACATTGTACATATTAGAATGGAAGATTTATTAGAGAAATTAAAATTATTAAACTATGATGTTGAATTTGTACAAGAATTAAAAATGAAACCCATAACTAGGTGAGTTTTATAAGAATATAATTTTACGTTTAAGATTTTTCAATTTAGTATTAATTCAAATTATCTTTGAATATTCGGTAGGCATTATTTTGCAGTACCAACAAATCCAGGAGAACAATTCTATATGTTTACTTCATTAGCTGCGTGGTTAATTAGAAAGGTTGGTAAAGATTTTGAACAGCCACAAGAATCCGATGACCCTAACTCTACAATATCGTTGATACTGGATTACCTCAGAGAAATTGATATTCCGATAGAATTTCCACCGAACAAATTAAAACAAGGAGCCGGAGAACATGCTATTTATGTGTTAGATAATTTAGCAGATAATGGTATAAAAGTACAAAAGTTCAAGTGGAAAAAGTACATTTCGAAAGTATATTTTATATTGATATTATTGTACCACAAATTATAACGTATCATATCTACAGAGCAGAAATTATACCCGACGATGAGACACCTGAACCAGAAATAGAGGAAGATGATGCAGAATTAATTTTAGAGAAAGTAGAAGAAGAGATGATGGCTGAGTATAATGATGTGGATGATGAGATTTTACACGTTGATGATATAACTAAACTTTATAATCAAAACATGGTCTATTTATAGTTTTCTGCTTTTCATATTTTATATTTTTATTAAATTTTTATCTAGAATTATAAAATTGTTTTAGAACAAAACATACAAGCCTGACCATATTTTAGAGTCAAATACAAATAGAGAAGAGTGGCAATTGGAGTTAGAAAGAGTTCTACCTCAATTAAAAGTAACTGTAAAAACAGGTAATAGAAGATTACATTTGAAATATATCTCCCTACAATGATAAAATAAATTTACTTAATTTAATAATTATAATATTATTTTCTCTCTATATAGATTCGAGAGATTGGCGTTTACATTTAGATGAAATGAAGCAACTGCGTTCAGACATTACAACTAATTTATCTGGTACCAAAGGACAATTAGATAAGTTACATCTTGAAATAACTAATGTATTAGATAAAATTAAAACTAGAGAGACTTATCTAAACAGACAATTGGAGCCTATTTTAAATGAATATAGGATACTTCAAGTTAGTACATAACACAATTAAAAACAAAAATTTACTATTTTTCCTTCAAATAACAGAGATCCTTTTTAGGACGATTTATCTAAAGTTAAAGAACAATACAGAGATGTTAGTGGTGGTGTAACGGAAAGAACAAGAGTTTTTAATAAATTAACAGAGGAATTAGAACACATGAAAAAAGAAATGGATGAGAGAGGATCCAGTATGACTGATGGAAGTGAGTAACGTTTTATAAAACGTGCTGTAAAATTTAGTTAAAAAAATAAGAAAAACAAAAAAAAGAAAAATGTAATAATTATGTAATCATTATTCGTTTTACAGCGCCACTGATAAATATTAAAAAGATTATCACAAAATTAAAGAATGAAATTTCGGAGATGAACATTCGCATAGGATTATTAGAGTATAGTCTAATGTGTGCAAGAGTTAGAGATCGCATCCAACTTCAAGAAGACATGAATAGCACTAGCAGCACTGTAATTATTTAAACGAACCATTTTTATGTATAACAAAGTTATTTTATCGACTAATCCGTCCATCGTGTGATATTTATTTTATGATAATGTAGAATTAAACAAAATATTTATTGTAGTTCCAAGATTTGCAATAATATAAAAACTATTACAACCAAAGTACCAAAATTGATATTAGCATTTATATTGTAACAAGCAAGTTATTAAATTAGTTTATCAAAAATGTGTTTGTATGTGCTTGTAAGGTAAGTGTAAATACGAACGATGTGATATAAATTGCAACGATAAAGTATGTGAGATAAACGAATAATGTTTACTCAGTAATTGTAACGATATCATTAAAAATCTTGATTTTCGTTATCATTGATTACCAGATTATTCGGAATATAACATGTTATATACACACATGTATATAAATATCTTTTAAATTTATTTTTTTTTTACAGAAAAAAGTAATGTTTAAGAGCTTTCAAACATAAATATACATATATACAAGTATATATATATATATATATATATATANGAAAATTAAAAAACATTTTTGAAGTGTTACGATGTCACATCATTAGCGAAAATATTTTATATATATATATATATATATATATATATATATATATAAAATATTTTCGCTAATGATGTGACATCGTAACACTTCAAAAATGTTTTTTAATTTTCTTTTTATCAACCTGTTTATTTTCTCTTTATGTTTATTTCCGTTATATTTCGTCTTACGGTTTTAACTTCTATTTTAATAAAAATAAATAAAAATAAATAAAAAGAGAAATAAAGCTACACGTCATTATTTACTGACATAAATAAAATATATTATAAATATGTGAAAACGCGCGTGTAATAATCGTTGAATTAATCGATACGGTTGATTAACCGAATACGGAGTCCTGCTACTTGTTTCGTTAATTAAGAAACGTTCTTTTAATCGAGTATGAAATCCCTACTCCAAGTAGTATCGAATCCCTCGAACATCGTTTAAAGTGAAGTCCATAGTCGTATAATGAAAGTTGACGCGAACAAGTTGGTCTGAAAGGTACCATTGCTTTTAGTATTTTTCATATTAAATTCTTACGTTTAATTATTATTAATAACCAATTGATAAACATTAAATATCAGTGAATAAACAAAAAATCATAATCATATTCATCGGGTTACCATCAGAATTTTGTTCAACAGGTATTTATTTCACAACTAATTTAACATAAATTAAAGTTTTTCATTTAATTTAAAATGAAACTTATTATTTTCAACTATATTAAAATATATTATCGTAAAAGTGTATTTCTTATTAGCGTAAGCACACATGTATAGTATTACATTATTATAAAGAAAAATAACTTGTAACAATAAAAAATTGATTAACATATGTTATTTTAAATGTTAATAACACAATGTTGGTAAAATTTCATAATAATTGTTGCTAATAATCACAAATTGATTAATATATGTTGTAAATTTCAGTGATAATACTATACGTTCGCTTAATTTCATTATAATTGTCGTTAATAATATGATATTAATATTATTATTCAAAATTAATGTAAAATCAAATCTATTTTTATCCGAACGTGATATAGTATTATATTTCCAAATAAAAATTTTTGTTATTAAATTATTATTATATATATTACCACACACATAAAATATTAATATTTATAAAAATACTGCATTTAAAAATATTATATTAGGTGACGTTTCTTTCACTCTGTCAGTTTGATAGTTTTTTATTTACTGGACAGGATACGTGATTACGTATTTGTGTGTTAAATATCTGTTCCCCTATATACAAATAAGAAATATCTTTCTCTCACATATACACGCACGTATAAAGAAAACTCTTCCGTCCTTTTACTTGGATATATAATAACGCACTTAAAGTGCATCAAAATGAAAATACTAAGATGGAAGTTGTATAAAAAAAAAAAAAAGAAATATAAATATTAATATATATATATGAAATAAAAAGATTAGAAAAAATATAATTGCATTAACAAGCTGTAAGAAAATCACGTATGCATGTATGGCGCGTGTGTGAGAGAAAGAGAAAGGAAGAGAAAGAAAGAAAGAGGGAGAGAGTAAAATTAAATGAACAGTAAAAGCGGTGGGAGGGCATGTATATGGGACATTCAAAATCATAAAGTTCTTTTTTACAAAATACCAAAAGATAATAAAATTTGAGCCAAATTAAAAATGTCAATTTTTAAAGTAGGTTGAGAGGTTTGAGGCATAGAAATGCTTTAAATATACACCAACGAGATAATTTAATGAATTATATAGAATGATTTGCTTTAATTGCAAAAAATAAAACGATACGTGTAAAACATGTAAAATACGGACTAGTTCCACGCAAGAGTTCATTTGTATGAAAACATATAATAATTAAATTCAATTGTTACTCATAAAAATGAATAATTACAATATCTGTATTAATAATTATCTCTCGCGATTTGTCATCGCTTTATATTCTGCGATGCTTGCTGAATAATTTCGAACTTCGAACAGCCGCGTAATATTGATAATTAACAATCAATTTTACAATATGTGCTTCTTTTTATAGTTTCTTCAACCATCGTGATTTTTTTATTCTTTTTTTTTTTTCATATATATCATTGTATTTTACAATCATCTTGAAGATTACACATACATTTGAAAACTAGTTTTTTCGATCGATAATTTAATAAACGGAAATAATAAACGAAGAAGTATCAAATGCATAAGACGTATAGTTAATATTTCTTTATCAGTTGTCATCTTTTAGTCGTGTGAATAAAACCACGTCGGGAAAACAATTATTTGTACAAACTATTGCTGCGTTATTGATTGCTCTGTTTATTAAAATGAACGGTGATCAACTGGAGATGAAAATTAGAACCAGAGAGGATTTTGCCTCGAATGTCTAGTAAGACTGTCTTTTATGTTAGTATCATCATCATCTTCCGTTGAAAAAACTCAATCATAATCATGATTCATCGTAAATATACTATAAATACATGCTGCAGTTGCATTTATTTATAAATTATTCAAATATATAGGAAATGACGAATGTCATCGAAGAAAAAATAAATACATAATGTTAATCTAATACAAAAGAAACGAAAAATGAGAAATGCGAAGGATATTATTTTAAAAATTCATTAAAATTAGTCTTTTAAATAAAAATATCGTTTACATCATTCTAACATTAAAATTTGTAACGTTTAATATCAGCTATGTAGTGATGACCATTAGTATGATATATTTCTTTTCTTATAACACTCTCTGATGTCTTACAAAAACTGTATATATTATATATTATATATTTAAAAAATATTAAGTTAATTCCCGAGCGTGACCGTAAGAAAAATTTCATGACCGAATGTTACATTTAACCGAAAATTATCATCTGATAAAATATTTTGACATCTTTGAGATATGTATGTAATTTCGATAGTAAAAATAATCAATGTTATCTTTTTGTCTTGATATGTATGTTATCTTCCTTCGAATAAGTCAAAAGAAGGTTTTCTTATCTTTGGTAAAAAAAAAGTATCCCTTGGACTTTCATCTTAAGATAAGAATAGTTTATCCCTCTTCCATTGAAATCTCAATATTTGATGCATGAAGAAGAAGAAGAAGAAGAAGAAGAAGAAGAAGAAGAAGAAGAAGAAGAAGAAGAAGAAACCTTTAACAAATCGTTATCGGTTTAATATTACGCTATTTTAAAATTCATGTTAAAGTAACCGACAATATTAACTAAACAAATTTACATATTTAATAATATTTATTTTCAACGTGAAAAATAGATTACTAAAAATATAATATTATCTATGAAATAAAAAGATAGAGTTATGAATTATCTTGAAAATATCGTAAATATTTGAAAATGTATTTTCAGATAATAAAAGTATTATTATAATAATGTGGTTACAATTAATAAGAAGATAATTCTACGAGTCAATAATGCCATTAATTATTAATCGTGTAAATTCCTTGATAATGAAGGGTAGGAAATACGATTAAAAATAGAAAGAATACGAAAATATAAATAATACGTCAGACATTTTTCTTATTATTTGAATATTCGCGGTATTAAGGCGAATGTCGCGTCATGTCGCGTCATGACGAACTAAAAAAAACAACTATACAATACATTGTGTATCAGTTATAGATAATTCTTTTTGTAAAAATCCTATAACATAACGTCATAATTAAACATGCATAATCACAATACTTGACAAAAAGTTCAACTGATTTATATAAAATCAATGTATTCTTAAGAAAAAATAACCAAATGATAGAGTGGAAGTAATACTAATCTTGTTATTTTCAATTTTGTTATATTCTTTCTTATGTACAAATTATGTGTTATTTGTTATTGTTAATTATTTGTAAATTTAATAAGTCAAACGTTAAAGAAAACTACTAAGTAATGGTTATTTAGAGTTGCAACTACAGTTGATATACTTTGCATATTATGTATTTACATATGAATGATATTTTTCTTTTAATTTTCAACTTTTGTTTATATGAATAATAAGATTAATCGAATGATTCATTTAATTGTAATAATTGAAGTTGAAAGAAACAGATTTTAATTATGCCTATAGTATCAGTAACCAATTTAATTGAGGAAGACTTCGATGATCACATGTAAGCTGGTAAATTTTTGTTTAAACGCACACAACATTGCCATTTTGATATTATTTAATGAGGAATATAGTTCCATAGTCAAATGATTTTGTCACTTTATTGAAATAATTTTCTTTCAGTGTCGCACCGGCAACAAAGATGAAGCAATCTTCTTTAAAGTTTATCATAATTCTGGTCATCGGGATGATGTTATTAGTCCTTGGCTCTATTGCAGCTTCATTTTGGTCTTCGATTTTTAATTGGTTTTTGTTACGAGTAAGTTTCTAATATATTTGGTTATGAATAATTTCATCTAAACAATCCGTTCATTGTTACTAATGAAAATCTTTCCCGCAGGAACTAACATTGACGCCAACATCAACTATTTATAATCTTTGGAAGGAAACACCTATACCGATGCATCTGAAATTTTATTTTTTTAATTTGAGTAATCCTGATGTCTTTAATCACCCTTTAAAGAAAAAGCCAATGCTTGTAGAAATGGGACCATATGTGTTTAGGTAAATTTAGAAAAAATTTCATCTCTATATTTGGTTTTGATAAATCCTATGGAATTTACAGAGAAATTGACTATAAAATAAATCAAGTATGGAACGACAATGGAACTGTAACATTTCAAAGGAGAAAAGTATGGCATTTTGATGAAAATTTATCAAAAGGAAAGTTAACCGATAAAGTAACTAATTTCGATCCGATCGTAGTGGTGAGTTTTATCCAATGTTATTTTTATCCTCAATTAAATCAATGAGATTATTCTGTCCCTAATACATTCAAATCTAATTTGCACAGACAATGGGACAATTAATGAAAAGTGAACCTGTAATAATACGTGAAATGGCTGATAAATTAATTCAAAGCGTAAATAAAGGTTTAACGATGACGAAAACTGTAGGCGAAGTCCTGTTTGACGGTTATAAGGATGAATTACTTGTTATAGCAAAAAAATTGAATTTTACCAATATACCTTTCACCAAATTTGGCTGGTTTTATGAGGTGCACATATGACAAATTATGGATAATATTAAAAGTATTACTAAATTTTCATTTATTTTTCTTTAGAGAAATAATTCTGATACTTTTGATGGAACATTCAATATGTTAACTGGAAAAGATAATATATATGAAATGGGAATTGTCAAAGAGTGGAATTTTCAGAATAAAACAAAATATTACAAAGATTCTTGTGGTGTGATAGACGGTACAAATGGTGACTTATGGCCACCTTTGATGGATAATAAAACCGTATCTATATTTGTACCTGACATTTGCACGTATGTACAAATAATATTGGCGTAATTAATAATGATTAAACTTATCGATTGTACTTTTTCTATGAATCAAATTGTTTTAGATATATAACATTGACATATCAAAATCAATTTTTGTATCAAAGTATAGAAGGTAGTAAATTTATTTCCGATGAAACTATGTTAGATAATGGTAGTATTGTAAAGTCACGAAAATGTTTTTGTGCGAATGAAACAATATGCGAGCCGTCTGGAGTATTAGACGTTTCTAAATGTAAGTACGGAGCACCTGCATTTATCAGTTTGCCACATTTTTATTTGGCGGATAGTAGTTATGGAAAAGCGGTAGAAGGACTGAAACCCTTAAGAGAAAAACACGAGACTTTTGTGATCGTCGAACCGGTAAGTATTTTTCATATCGCATAAAATTAAATACAATTGTGTATAATTTTTTCGAATTAAATTTCTGTAGAAATCTGGCGTCCCATTAGAAGTGAAAGCGCAATTGCAATTAAATCTTATGGTGGAGCCGATCGACGGAATGAGGTAAATAAAATGTATTTCATAAATGTTTTTCTTATTAATAAACAAGTAAATGAGATATTATGATTTCTTTTTTTCAGTATATTTAAATACGTACGAAAAACGTATATGCCTATGCTGTGGTTTACGCAAGAAGCTAGTTTAACTTCTGATTACGTTAGTCAAGTTAAATTTTTATTGGTATTACCAAAATTAGGACTAGTTACTTGTATTGGTATCAGCGTTATAGGAATCTTAATAACTTCTATTGGTATATTTGTTTATATTCGTCAAAGGTGGCAAACGGAAGATAATCAGATATTATTAGTTAGAGATGATACAAATCGTGTTGATAGAACCAACGAATGATCAACATTTTAATTATATGTAGAGGTAAAAGAAATATTAAAGTTACGATTCAGCTTTATTTTATATGCGAAGAAGCATATTTTTACAGCTGACAGTGTATTGTTTATCATAATAGTTTCATATTTTTGCTTATGATTAAAACACCGGTTAACAAATTTTTATATACTCGTCTATATATGATGTCTAGAATAGGACAAACCAAGCAAATCGTTAATTACAAACTTTTAAAATAATTAAATTTTTAGAATAATAATGTGTGTGAAGTGCCTATTATTAAACTATAAAAAGATCTATTTAAAAAAAATGTACGATTATTAAGACTATGCTGATGCAACATAAAGTGTTAGTTAGTTAGAGATTTATAATGTTTTATCTACTAGCATGCAGAAAAGAATCATGATTCAAATGACACATATAATATATATATATATATATACGTATATATATATATATATTATATATATATATACATATACGTATATAGAGGATGTCTGAGATTTTTTCGTACAAATATTGTGAGCGTATTCTACGCATAAAATTAATAAAAATATGTTATATAAATATAAATCATTTAAAGCTTTATTCAAAAGCTACAAATTGTAAGACTATTTAAATGTGCTGTTCAAAATGTTGCCTGCCTATGCGAATACAATTTTGAGACCGTTACAGAATGCTGTTTAGTATATGGCGAATTTTTTTATCGATTTCTATTAATTTCTGCAAGTGCATCCACAATTTGCTCTATCATAACATCAAGTATAGCTATTTCATAATCAGTTGCATAAGCTTCTTGTTTTAGTTTTCCTTATTAATAAAAATCTGGTAGGACGAGGTCAGATGACCTAAATGGTCAAGCTATTGTTCAGAGAAGAATACGTTGATTTACTCCACGATGGTGAACAACATACGCAGAATCGCTAAACATCATTTACAGCACAACAGCACTACATTTGGACAGTTTTACAATTTATGTTAGACCTTTCTGAATGAAGTTTTAAATGATCTATGTTAGTAGAACATTTTTAAATTATTTTTTTGCGTAGAATACGCTCACAACGTTTGTACGAGAAAACCTCAGACGCCCAATGTATATCAGAGATAATACAGAGATATAAAAATGATCAAAATTAATATAAATACTATTATGATGTTTAAGACAAACATAACGATAATAATAATAAGATCATCTATTTTGAAATGTGTTACAAGTGCAGCACACTTTGGTGCTTAAGTCACCGTTATATCTGTGATAAACAGCAAGTGTGCTATTAATATTTACACGCAATAATTTAATTGAACATATAAAATAGCTGTATTTTATAGAATAATGTGGTTTCTTTTTATTAAAATTTCTATCTATTGATTCCATACTGTAACACGGAGTCTTTTATTTTGCTGAGTAATGGTCTTTGATTGGAATCGATATTATAGAGCGTTGCGCTTATGTTAATTATTTAAGTACAAAATTTATATATGAAATTTATCAAATTTAATAAAAAAAGAAGAGGGTCATGAATTGAATTAAAAAACAATATAATATATATATTCACTATTTAAGGAATTAAAGGAAATCACTAATTAAAGGAAATCAACGAAACACAATATAGATATTTAAATGACTATTACATGTTATAATAAATGAATCAAGAGAACGATTAAAATTCATCGGTATTGTAAGATACAAATCAAAAAGGTATCATCGTAAAGTTATAACATAAAATCGCGCAGCAAGCTAATTAATTTAAATATTTTCATCCTAAATTGCGAATAACTATAATTAAAAAATGAAACGAATTAAAACTAATAAAGAATACTAGGCACTCGTATACAGCAAAATTAAAAATATATACGCTAAATAGAATACATTATATATAATCTATAAAATTGACAGATTGTCATTATTAATTTGACATAGTGGTGATATTCAATAATAATATTTAAAAAATTATAATTGTAATTTATTTATTTCTAATGACTGTATAATATGACTGTATAATATGTAAAGGAATATAATATTCTTTTCTCTTATATATAAGATTTGTTGCTTTTACGAGACTACTAGCCTAAAAAAGTTTTGTACGTGTAGGGCATAGAAGGTACTTTAATTTAAAAAAAAGCTTTTTAAAATTTGTTTACTCTAACTATAAAAAATATTTACGAAAACGTTTCAAAGATATGACAGCTATGTGTAAAATATATGTACTTTGCAGCATTTCATTTTATGAGATTTTAAGTATTTAAAACGCGAAATACACAGCTACAAAATATAATGTGCGTGTAAGGCAGAGAGTGTACTATCATTTAAAAT